CCTCCTTCAGGCATCTGCAGCATGGAAGCCTCCACAGGGTTGGGTAAATCACAAAAATTAAAAATTTGCAAATTGTAAGTGGACATGCATGGGTTTTTGCCCTACAGTACCTGAATAAATTACCTCAGTGCTTACAGTACAAACAAAGCACACTAAGCTATCACACCAAAGGGGAAAATGCAGGGGTGCCTCCTTTTGTCTCTGTAATTTTGCACTGCATTCCTGCATCTAGAAAAGAAACAGAGACACTGAACTGGTTCAGAGAGGATTTGTTTGGACAGATGAATGCAATGTCCACTCCAGGACTGCAGATAGAATATGGTCACAAAAACACAGAGCATCACCTATGCTAGCCTAGTGTGCATTTCAGTAAATAACTTGAATTTATTGTTTATCATAAAGGTTTTATGGTTGCAGGGAGCACAGTATAAAATTTACAGACATTGCCTGGGATTCAGCAGAATAAAAACAGTCAATGTATAGTGAGTAATTAAATCTGAGTTCCATGCACAGATAATGTGATATGAAAAATTTAAACACCCAGGCAAATCTAATCACTAAATAAAAGAAGAGGCAGCATGGCATTGGGAATATGTAAATAATTGAAAGAAGCACTCTAATATCGGGATAGGCTTTGTCCCACCCCATTTGTGGATTGCATACGGGGGCTGTCTGGAGACGGAAGACCTGTGCCGGCCTTCTCCAGCTCTCCCCAGTGACCATGTTGGCTAGGATGGCTGGGAGCGGACATTCGCCATGCCTGGGAAGCACCAGGCTGGGGAAGGCTGGCTTAGACTGCCCAGCTAGTGCTACTGCGGCTTGGATACGGTCAGCCCAGGAAGCACAGTGATGCATCTCCTGTGGAAAACTTTGATACAACACAGCAGCGGGCGAGGAAGCAGTTGCAGGGTCTCTGTCTGCATCCACCCCTGGCAGCAAACAAGCCGTGCTGTGTCGAGCCTCATCAGCCAGACCTGAGCAAGCCTGTGGCACTAACTGAACCGAGGCCGATGCTGAGGACACCCATCCAGAGATCCCTGGAGTTGCTCCTCTCCTCTCTGAGGGAGGGGCCACATTGACAGCATCGTGCCTGAGGGGTCTCCGACTCCTGGAGCCAGCACTGGAAGACACAGTTCATACTGCATAACACGGCCTTCTCCAACCCAGTGCTCCTCTGCCAGTTTTTTTGCTCTAAGTTCCCAGAATCCCTGATCAGTGTCCATGGCAGCTAGAGATGATGGGAACTGAAGTTCAAAACATCTGCCGTCCTTTTCTGCAAAAGCACCCACTTGTGGAACACACTTCTGATTTTGATCCACCAGGTGTCTTCTCTTCTCTTATTCAGATGCCAATTAAAAACATTTCTTTTTCAGGGAGTGAGCAGACTGTTTCTGGAATGGTTTATTATACTGGTTTTTATTGCTGCTATCACCATGTTAGCATTTTAGCCACCAATTCTATTTAAATGATAGTTTTAATTTGATTGTTCAAATAGTTTCTTTACATGTATATTGATGTTATTGATTTTATTGTACTATTTTGTTTTATTTGTTGTTGTGTGTAATGTAAGCTGCCCAGAGAATCTCACATACAAGTATACAACATACAAGTGAAATAAATAAATAAATCTAGAAGGTACCGGACTGGGGAAGGCTGCCATTTGAGTACCAACACGTTAGGAGAGAAACAAGTGTGTCTCTATGGCTCGGAACCTGTCCAGCTGGTTGGTTAAAAAATCTCCCATTTCACGTGACAATGACTTCCTTTTAGATCTCCCTCTAAAACCCCTTGTAGAGGTGATCCACTCCTGACCCTCTCCTTCCTTTGTAACTAGATTCACCTCGTGCAACGGCCAAAGGAGGAGGTTGGAAAATAAGATGGAAAACAAAAGGGCACGCCCCAAACACGGTAAGGAGCTATTACCAAAGATCAAGACAAAGAGCTCTACCAGAGAAGGGGTAGAGCATCCCTTCTCCTCCGAGAGCCACTGTGTGAGCAGCAGGGCAGCACACACATCAACTGGAGCTGAACTTCCACCTCTCTGCACCACCCCCTTAGCGTCTGCTGCTGTCCCACCCTTTCCCTTTGCACCTCAGATGGGTCTGCACTGCCCTTGGTGCACCGCTACCTCACTCGTTTCTCCTGGGCTCCATCTCTCAGAGTCACCCGTCGCTCAATCCCCCCCGTGGCCCTGTGCAAGGCACTTCTGCATTCCGCTGGGACCGGCTGCAGGCTGCCCTGTATTCCTTTCCACCGTTCATCCACAGTCCTGCTTGGCATAGAAAGTAGATGCAGCTCAGACGGGGGTGTCTGTGGTGCTTCGACAGCAAGGGTGGGGCATCTGGATCTTTCAAGAGGCTTTGCTTCAGATTTCCCTCTAAAACCTCTTGCAGTGCATTTTTTATTATTATTATTATTATTATTATTATTATTATTATTATTAGAACATTTCTATGCCGCCCTTGCCGAAGCCTCGGGGTGGCTTACAAACACAATAAAATACAATAAAATACAAAAATAACAATATAAAGTTAAAATTAACAATATAAAATAAATAAAAATATAAAAACGTCTCCTGGCCCTCTCCTAAAGTTCTGATTGGTTCACTCCATTCAGCCTTGTACCACCTATTCTCTTTCCTAGAGAACCGCCAAAAACGTGCTCCATGCTGCTGCCACGCTTGAGGGGGCCCAGAGCAAGTTTTCTTCCTTGACCACCCTGGCCCTGTTGCTGCCTAGATTCTGGGAGCTACGGCAGAGACACATCCCAAGCTTCTGGCAAGAGAAGTGAAGCCGGAGTGCTCGGCTCTACAGTCATCATTTGGACCGGCTCTGGATGTGTTTGGCGCAGCAATGGCAGCGACTTAACCTGTCAGCATTCTAGCAGGATGGGGTGCCCCACTCTGCTCTGCCCTCCTCCCCACTTCCCTCAGTTTAACAGGCACAGTGGCAAGGGATTGCCCCTTCTTTCTTTAAAACATGCATAATGAGGGGAGCTGGCCAAGCAAGTCTGCCATCTACTACCTATCTGTATTATGTCTCTGGCCTGTGCATCCAGCTAACCCCTGTAAAAAAGTCTTTTTAAAGAAGGTCAGGAGCCATCTGGCACCCCTCCATACTGTGGGGAACAGAAGGTCCACTGCAAAGTCTGCATGTCACTTTCAGATGTTGAAAAGTTTCCTCCGTTTAATAGTTAATTCAAAGATTAAAATACTCTGGGATGTTGGGAAAACCTGGTGCTCTTCATTATTCCACTTTCAAAGGTCATGGTTTTGTGTGAAAAGCAATGAAAAAAGGAGATAAGTATCTTCCATGTGGATTATCAAACATGATTTCTATGTCAATATTAATTAGCAGTAAGCTATTAAAATATTGTACTGCTTTGTTTCTATTTAAATGTAAATCTCCCCACATTTTCTGTATTAAAATTATTTTCACTGGCATTGACAGAAACATTAATTAAGACTTATAAGTGTCACTTTCTAATATAAAACTATCCATTTAAACAAGGGGAGAAACCAGTGAGTAGTTGCTGGGGGGAGTGGGAGAGTACGGGAAGGAAAAGTGAAAGATTGAGTAATTTCCTGAATCACATTTTAGCCATAAATGTGTATTTAGTTGAAGGATGGGAAAACCTTCAAATTGTCATAAAAGGGATCATGTTTACAACAACTGCAAAAATTCTAATAAAAGTTCTAATTCCTGCCTAGGGCAAGCACTACTATGATGATTACGAAGTCACAGCCAGGTTTTGTATATTCTCTAGTGTCTGCCTGCCTGCCTGCCTATTTATTTTTATTTATAGTATTTATATACTGCTCCAAATTACATCTAAAGAGATTCTGGAGCAGTGAACAACACAAGATAAATGAAATAAACAATATTAACAGTTTAAAGAGATGGGGGAAAGAATACAAAAAAAGTTTGGCTCATCAGAGAAGGCTTGTTGAAATAGTACCCAAACTTTAAACCTGGCCCAGTAGTGAAGCGGCAGCCAGTGCCATTCCACCAGCAAAGGAGCTGCACGCTGAAAAGCAGCAGCTCCCAACTACACCTGAGCAGCTGCTTTCTACATGAGCTCCCACTTCAAAAAGGGTCTTAGGGGCAGCCCCCCATAGAGCACACTGCAGTAATCCAGTCTGCGGGCGACTGGGACCTGTACCACTGGGGCCAAGCTAGAGAAAGTCAGTAATAATAACAACAACAAAACCTGCTCCCCCTACCCTATCGCCTTTCTGTCTTCCGCAGATAACATCTTCTTTATTCCGCAGGTTTTGCCAGTGTTTAAAATGTATTTCTTGGTTTTAAAATCGGTTTATTTTTAGAAACTTTGTACACTGCTTTTAGAATGACTGAAACGCAAGAGGCATTTCAAATAAACATGACATGACCCTTGGATCACTGCTGGGGTAGATTTTGGGCCACTCCATCTCTCAGGGCCCTATTTCCCCATCCAACACATGTCACACACACACATCACTAAAGCATAATTTAGTGCTATAGGAACAAGTCTCGGAGGAGTACTACTGCCCCTCCTCTGGACTGGGACCTGGGAGAGCCATTACTAGTCTCCACTCAGCCCTGAAGCTCACCAGGTGACTTTCAGCCAGCCACTCACTCTCAGACTTACCTTCCTCACAAGGTTCCTGTGAGGATCAAATGGAGAAGAGGCCAAAGACCATGCAAGCCGCCTTGCACTCCTTGAAGGAGGAAAAGCGTCAAAAGTGCAAGTGCAATCATAAATTGATAACATAAAGAAATGTAGAACTACAGGAATTTTTTTGGCATAGACTCAGAATGGACTGATACATAAATTAAGGAGATTAATTGCTCCACGATTTAGGCACACACTCGTTATCATTAACAAAGAGAAATGTGTCCAAAATTAACAAGGGGGAGGATTAGCCTTTTTTCAGAAAACAGGCATTTGCACCATCAAGGAGACAAGGAGATTTCCTTAATTATTAAGCCAGCGTGACAAATGCTGCTGGAGCGGCTTACCTTCGACGCAGGAGGGCTGCGCCCTCGTTGTGCCAGCAACCTGCCCCGGGAGGCAAGAGCACTTGACCGTTTGCGACCGCTCTTCGATCCGGTTCTTGTTGCAACACCGGTGCACAGCAACCACTTCGCACGTCCCTTGCTTCACTTGGTGGTGGCCTAGGAAAGATGGCATTATTTTATCAAGCGTCCGTATCTACTGATCCACGCTCCATCATGAAGATTTGAGAGCGCTGAGCTATGCACGATAAGTCAGGTAAGAGAATAAAGCATTAAGTGAAAAACAGAATCAATAATAACTGTGGCTGGCGAGTTCCAGAAGGCTTCCTGGAACAAAGATGCCGTCAGGAGGAGCTGAAAACAGTGCACTGTTGGTGGCTTCCACGGCAGTGGAGCTGCTACCTTCTGTTCGTCATCAGCTCTGGCGATGAAGGGCATGCAGGCCTCAATCTTTCCTGGAATCAGATGCACTGAACCCCTTACAGCCACAGACCAAAATCCATCTCACAGAAACTCTTGGGAATCATTTTCCAATAGTGGCTGAGGCCAAAGGCAAAAGAGATGTGGCAAAATATCAAAAACATTGGTACATTTTAGCTTCAGGCACTTACTGCTAGCAACTAAGCCTGAGGAGAAGCATGTAGAATTGGGGCGAGCCATCAACATAAGCTACATCCCTGGAACTCAAGGCCTGGCCTGAATGCACCAAAGATGTGGGGAAAATACAACATGCGAAACCAGAAGCATTTTCTGGTTAAGCCAGAAGCATTTTCTCTTGTCCTCCCTTTTTCCCTTCCAAATAACAACATTTTATATCTCATTCCTATGGAATATCTTAGTGCTAGGTATTTTTAAAAGATTATTATTCTTCTGCTTTATTAAATACAATACTTTAAATTCACTTGGAAAAGGAAAAATAAATTATCTACAAGAAAACTGTAAAGGAGAATTAAGTGTTTAAGGCTGCAATTCTATAGTCACTTTCCTATGAATAAATTGCATTGAAAACATTGAGACTTGCTTCTGGTTCTGAGATATACATGGGGTATACCGCAAAAACAGCACGTACATGAAACACATTGCTTGTATGATTCCAATGACTGATTAATGGCTGCATAAAAATGACTACAATAATTAACTAGAGAGTTTTTAAATTACAGTGTATTAATTCCATATCAATTACTGCTATACATACAAAATACAGCCAAACAATTCTTTAAAATCCATTATAGCATCTGTTGCTATCGTTCATCATACAAAGTAATAGTTTGCCAGGGAGTTCAGCCCCGTTCCACCTGCTGTGAAGAAGCTTCCCTAGAGAAAATGTGCCCTGTACCGCTGCCACACTGGAGGGGCCCCAAAGCAAGCTGGCCTCCTTGACCACCCTGGCCACTTCCTTCCTCCTGGTTTTGGAGGAAGCCTCTACCTCAATACAGCAGAGAGACATCCCAGACGTCTGTGAAGATGCAAGTGAAGCGGGAGTGCTCGCCTGATTCGGCTCTACCGAATTTAGACTGTTTAGACTAAACAGACTATTTAGACTGGCTCGGGGTGCGTTTAGGAAACTTCCACATCCGGCAGCAATACTAGTGTCTTAAACTGTGAGAATTCTAGCAGGATGGAGTGAGCTAGCTCTGCTCTGCTCAGTTCAACAGGCACAGAAGGAAAGGGATCCCCTTCCTTCCTTCCTTCCTTCCTTCCTTCCTTCCTTCCTTCCTTCCTTTAAAACATGACCACAGAAAGGAAGTTTGCCAAGGGTTCTGCCTCTTGCTACCTGTATTACGTCTCTGGGCCTGTGCACCTGGCTACTACCTGTAATGAAGTCTTTTTTAAAGAAAGTCAGATGCCACTTGCCAGCTCCACATACTGTGGGGAGCAAAAGATCCACCCCAAAGTCTGCATGTGCTCCCTATCATTTTTAGATGCACCTAAAAAAGGCATTAGTGAGAGCCAATGCTTTTTTGTCATAGAACGCACCAGAACAGAGTTCCGGCACCTTTTTTTGACAGATTTTCCAAGTTTTAAAAGTAACTTTTGAAAATTTGATGTTTAATCCACGTGGATTTGAATCGCCCTGTCGAGCATAGCAGGTCGGCGGCAAAATCATTAAAATGGTGCATGCGGCCTGCTTGTTTGTCAAGTCCGATGCATGCGTACTGGTTGTGATGGTGCTGCTCGGCTTGTGATTGGTCGTGTGGTCGCGTGCTGAGTGCTTACTGCAGGCAACGACCGTTATGTTTCATTACACAACTGACGTGTATGAGTGTGTGTACAGTGACTGACTACCTGCGAAAGGTAAATAATTTTATGAGTTCCAGCACCTTTTTTCTTACAAAAAACGCACTGGTGAATGCTAAGGACAGATCAAGTGCTCATGCAAAGCTACAGCACAGATCTTCCAGCAGTGCTATCCGTTTAGGAATGCTACCTTCTCATGAGTCATACAATGCAGATCAGATTCTGTCTGTATTTCTAACTACACACCAACCCTTGTTGATCTCCAGGGACAAAACTAGGCATTTCCCAAGACATGGCAGAGCAAGAGAATATTGATTTTGGGTGCTCTCCAGTTCTTCATGGTTTTCCAGAGAATCACGGGCTGAAAGTGATGACATCTGTATTGCAAGTCCTGCGAGAAGCAATGCTCTCCAGGAAGGTTCAGTGGCAGGCAGTTGCTTTTGCCTCCTGCCATATCCTTCCTTTTCACAAGCTCAGGGTTTTCTGGCAGGCACACACCTATGGAATGAGCAGCAACTGACTGCGAGAAAGCCTGTCCTTACAAGCAAAGCATGTGCTTTGCAGAGCTGAGAGCTGGGCTTAGAGATACTCGTGAGATTCACCCTCACGGCTTTAACCAGTCTTCACTTCTATGAAGTCATGTGCTTGAATGGAAGAGGTTAAGTGACAGGGTGAAATAAAACAGACAAAGTAAAGAAAAAGAGCATATATTAAGTCTATCATCTCCTCCTTAATTTTGTCATTTCTATCTTACAACATTCCATTCTTTTTCGCACCTTGCAGAAGATCAAATCCATGCGCCAACAGGACTACACAAAGCTGTACAGACTGGCATATTGCAAACACTTTGCATCCTGAGAATTGATTCCTCATGATTCCCCCTTCCCATCATAGGGCAGGAATCATCTCTTGAATGGTATCCAAGAAGGGAGAAATTTCTCGGGTATGATGTACTCTGCCACTCTAGCCCTGTGGAGCAAAGTCACTGAAGCTTTATCCTATGCTGAACCAGGCAACCCGAATGCGTGTGCCCAGATGTCCTTGCTCACCCTCACCACTTCAAACACCTTAGAAAACACTCCACAGAGCAGCCTCTCCTCCTTTGCATTCTGAAGACTATCTAAACGTCTCTCATTCCCAAATTGTCATCAAGTGCCTGCTCCTCTCCTGCAGGTGTGAGTGTGAGTGCGTGTGTGCGTGCATTTTGTGACCTCTTTAGACTGCAAGGTCTTCAGTGCATTGCTTAGGTCTTACCAGTGTTTGCAAAGTACTGGGTAAATTAACAGCCTGACATGATAGTTATTTCTTTGAACATGGTGTTTGGTGAGCACAAGAATGATTTGAATAAAAATAAAACTCTGCCATCAAAGCTACACAAATGTTTCTTACACAGAGGAAAAGATAAGGCAAAGGTACTTGAAATCAAATAGACACTTAACCTGGGCTACCCTACAGAAACTTAGAGAGGCCTCAGAATATTTATTATAGAATAATAAATATTGACTTAAATATACATTTTAACACTTTATGGGTAGCACATTCCTATGCCTTCCAGTCAGAATCTAGATGGGCACAGAATAGTTTGGGGTCCCAGATTCTACCTTGCATGGAAATCTGTGACTCCAAGGGTGCAAGAGTGACCTCAAAGATGGGCTCCAAGGAGCGGAGGGGGGAAGAAGCAGGTTCCAGCAGGCCAGAACCGGTCATTTAAGCATTTTGCCCGTTGGTAAAACCACCTCCATTCTGCCATGTACAGACTCCCTGGGACCCTCTCAGTTCCAAGGCTTGCCTTGGAGAATTAATTTATTGGAGAATAAATGTTCTCTAGGGATTTTATAACAACAGAATTGAAAAAAACCAGAACAGAAAAAAAAAAAGAATTAGAACGCCAATAAAATCAAAAACACAAAGTTAATAGATCTGACAACACCGCATAAGCTACAATAGCAAGTATAGCAATGAAAAAGCAGCATTGGATGTTGTTAGTCGCGAAGTCATGTCCGACCCATCGCGACCCCATGGACAACATTCCTCCAGGCCTTTCTGTCCTCCACCCCTGCCCCCTCAAAGTCCACTCAAGCTCACACCAACTGCTTCAGTGACCCCATCCAGCCACCTCATCCTCTGTCGCCCCCTTCTTCTTTTGCCATCTATTGTTCCCAGCATTAGGCTCTTCTCCAGGCAGTCCTTCCTTCCCATTAGGTGGCCAAAGTATTTGAACTTCCTCTTCAGTATCTGGCCTTCTAAAGAGCAGTCAGGGTTGATCTCCTCTAGGACTGACCAGTTTGATCACCTTGAGGTCCAGGGGACTCGCAGGAGTCTCCTCCAGCACCACAATTCAAAGGCCTCAATCTTTTGGCACTCAGCCTTCCTTATGGTCCAGCTTTCACAGCCATACACCGCAACTGGGAAAACCATAGCCTTGACTATACGCACTTTTGTTAGCAGGGTGATGTCTCTGATTTTTAGTATGCTGTCTAGATTTGCCATAGCTTTCCTCCCCAGGAGCAAGCATCTTTTAATTTCTTGGCTGCAGTCCCCGTCTGTGGTGATCTTGGAGCCCAGGAAAATAAAATCTGTCACTACCTCCATTTCTTCCCCATCTATTTGCCAGGAAGTGAGAGGACCGGATGCCATGATCTTAGTTTTCTTAATGTTGAGTTTCAAGCCAACTTTTGTGCTCTCCTCCTTCACCTGCATAAAGAGGCTCTTTAGTTCCTCTTCACTTTCTGCCATTAGAATGGAATCATGTGCATATCTGAGGTTGTTGATATTTCTCCCAGCAATCTTAATTCCAACTGGTGATTCATCTAGCCCTGCCTTTCGCATGATGTGCTCTGCATATAAGTTAAACTGGCAGGGAAACAGTATACAGCCTTGCCGAACTCCTTTCTCAATTTTGAACCAATCAGTGGTTCCGT